ATAAAAGCATTACAATCACCATCACCATCACCATCACCTCTTAAGTCAGCACAGACACTGTTCAAAGCACCAACTGCACTACCATTGCCACCACCACCACCTACCCCAGCTCAAACACTGGTAAAAGCATCATCAGCATCATCAGCACCGCCAGAACCTCCAGCACCACCTACCCCAGTACAAGCACTGGTAAAAGCACTACAACCACCATCACCATCACCCTCACCACTTAAGCCAGCAGAGAAACTGTTTAAAGCACCAGATGCATTGCCACCACCACCACCACCTACCCCAGCACAAGCACTGGTAAAAGCATCACCAGCATCATCAACACCACCTACCACAACACAAGCACTGCTAAAAGCAACACCAGCACTATCAAAAGCATCACCTCCGGCACTACCATTGCCAGCACCACCACCGCCACCACCTAGTTCACCACAAACACTGGTAAAAGCATCACCAGCAGCATCAGCACCGCCAGCTGCGCCAGCACCATTAGCACCAGTTACTCCAGCACTTTCAAAAGCATCACCCCCACAACTACCATTGCTACAACCACCACCACCACCACCTACCCAAGCACAAACACTGTTAAAAGCACCACCAGCACTATCAAAAGTATCATTCCCAACACTACCATTACCACCACCACCATCTACCTCAGCTCAGACAATGTTAAAAGCACTACAATCACCATCACCATCACCATCGCCACTTAAGCCAGCACAGACACCGTTCAAAGCACCAACTGCACTGCCATTACCACTACCAACACCACCACCACCACCTACCCCAGCACAAGCACTGGCAAAAGCATCATCAGCATCATCAGCATCATCAGCACCGCCTGCACCAGTTACACTAGCCCTATCAAAAGCATCACCCTCAGCACTACCATCAACGCCACCGCCACCAACTCCACAACCAGCACGACCAGCACAACCAGCACCACCTTCAGCACTAGCACCAGCAGACGCACTTTTAAAAGCTGTATCACAAGCACCACCATCAGCACTGTCACTACCAGTAACACCGCCATCACCACCACCACCACCACCACCAGCTCCAGTGCCAGCGGGGGCGAGCAAAAGCATTGAGGATCAACGCAAATGTAAGCATCTGCTTTCGGGAGAATACACGGACAAGGGGGTGGGGGAGCCGAATCGGATGTTCATGAGGCTGCCTTATTGCGGTCAGGCGAGTGCACAAACGCATGACTCGCTGGTCGAGGCCAGGGGGGAGACGAAGAAACCGGACCTGTTGCTAGTCGATTCTATCATAACCGAAGTACTCACAGGAACTTCTAAAGGCTTGTTTCCTCTTCTCAACGCCTACCTGGCAACCGCTCCAATCGGGCGTCAATGTCTACACCACGAGCTAGCAGACATTTATCAGTACACACTGGCCAATCGCTTGATACAGCTGGCAAATAACCAGTCCATAGAAGCTCCAAAAGTGGCCATCACTGGCTTGACACTCAGCTACATGGCCGACACAGATGCCACCCTCGGACAGGCCTTTCGTGGAGCCGCTCAACGACTTATTTCCTCTCAGGCCTTGACCGACTGCCTACATGAGAGCAGGCAAATCGCCTCGGCCGTAAGGCATCTGGGGGCGAAACTGTGGCAGCTCAGTTTAGCCATCAAGTCGGATAATGGTGAGGAATTGAAAAATTGCCTGAATGATCCGATATTTGCATTTGGTTCGTCGAAACCTGAACTGAATCGAACAATTGGCGACTTGTCATATATTCTCCCGACGAGAATATTGAGATATAGGAAACAACTTTTAGATGTAAGTTTATACTACTCTAAACATTTTTGAGTAGTATGCATAAATAGTTAGGAATTTATTTTTATTTTTTTGCTCTTACAAATTTTATAAATAAAAACAAGCGAAGAATAGGAAAAAGAACGAAAACTATGCATGTAAGAAAAGTGTCGGGGTTCACATTAATCTCTTGATACAACACTGTTGTGCAGACTTTCACTTCTTATAAAAGTACAGGATGAAAAGATCCCTAAGTTGGCCTCACCGAAAGACGACGGCTGATTTCCATTGCCTTGCATCCGTTTGGCTTTAATACGATATTCTGGTTCACGTGGTCCACGCTAAGCTTTTCTTCGTCACATTACTGACATGATTGTGGCTGAAATGACTTCTTGCACAATCTTAAAATATTACTTTGATACAAAGAGTAATTGGGTTTCGATGAATCTCCTGATATAACATTGTTGGGGAGACCTTTCTTTCGTATAAATGTTCATGAAGAAGAAATTCATAGGTTGATCTCACCAGAAGACGACGGCTCAATCCCGATGTACTGCAGCCGTCGTAGTAAAGCCAAACGGCTGCAGTACATCAGGATTCAGCCGTCGTCTTCTGGTGAGATCAACCTATGAATTTCTTCTTCATGAACATTTATACGAAAAGAACATCTTCCCAACAATATTAACTTAATGTTAATTTGAAGCTTGTGCAATAACGAGTTTCACTTCTGACGATATTGATTATATGATGAACTAGAGCCTTGCTCATTTTCGTCCAAAATGAGAAAGGATGTCTTTTGGAGTGACTCAATCTGAACACTGTATTAGAGCCAATTAGCTGTAGAACAATGGGAATCGACGGTGAAATCGACCTAAGAATATCGTTGTCAGGTAACCTCATAGAAAACGAAAGTCACCAAAGAAATAAAGCTTTCAAGTCGCTAGGTAGAAATTTTATTCAGAGTGCCCTCTTATCTATACGCAACC